TTTCCGGAAAGTGCCGATTTTAAATGCATCTTTATAAAAAAATAGGTATATTTTCATCAAATCTTGTCGGATTTCGTTGAAATTTCGTAGGTAGGTTCCCAAATATCAGTTTATTACAACACAGTTTATACTAGTTTGATAAACTGGTTTTAAATACATACATTAATTAGTTAGTAACTAAGTTTTGCCTTATAAAAAATGAATATTTGCAATAATTTTTTTTTGTTCCTTAACCAGTGACCATATGCTTAATACATCTAGGATCACATTACAATTCATACCAATAGTGGACCTCATCATTAGATATTACTAATCATCAAATAAAAAAATCACCAGATAAGCATCACTCACGTATTAAATATTATGTCTGAAATAAACACAAAGGCTTGAAAAATTCATCGAAATCATTGTTTACTCTTTGGCTATTAGTGGTATGATAGAAAAATTAATTGATTAACACTGCCTCCGTGTGTATTTCTGCCTTAAAAAAGCTTCGCGCAAAAGCCATTTCTGTTCGGAGGCGGCGTAAGGCTGTAGGTCTGTGGCGTTTTTGTCACAACATGAAGACTCATACTACAAATTGAAGGAGAAGCTCAGCCAAACTTAGCCAATATTTTTATTATACTATTAATATTTACAATGACTAGGAAAAACTTGGACTCAACATGGCGTATAAGTGATGTTTATCTGGTGATTTTTTTTATTTGATCATTAGTAATATTTAATGATGAGGTCCTTTATTGGTATGAATTATAATGTGATCTTAGATGTATTAAGCATGTGCTCACTGGTTAAGGAACAAAAAAAAATTATTGCAAATATTCATTTTTTATAAGGAAAAACTTAGTTGTTACTAACTAATTAATATATGTATTTAAAAGTAATTTATCAAACTAATATAAACTGTGTTCTAATAAACTGATATTTGGGAACCTACCTTCGAAATTTCAACGAAATCCGACAAGATTTGATGAAAATATACCTATTTTTTTATAAAGATGCATTTAAAATCTGCACTTTCCGGAAAAAAACAACAGCGTTGAGCGACCTCTAAATCTTGTTCAAATAAGCTGAAATTTTAGAAGGAACTTGTCTTCCCTATTATCTTCAAGAATCCGAACGTTCCCAGTCGAAATTCAAAAAAGTTCCAATTTTGAATCACCCTAATGTACATACATGGGATATATGTACACATATTACGGTGGTCCAAAAATTCATGTGAAAAAGTAAAGTGGGAATTCTGAAGAGGAGTTTTGCCGATCGAAAAATATTGATTTTCACTAATTCTATACCATTTCTACGAAAGTTTTTTTTCCTCATATAAAATACATGGAAAACTTTGAGCGCTTTAGGCGACCTGTAAATTTTTTTTGATTTCAAAATAAAAAAAATCGGGGTATATTTTTTCGATTCCGGCTTTACTTGTTTTGGACCACTCTAATCTACATACATGTGTATAGGCGCTGGCCCGATGCAGGCTTGCTTTGCGCGCCTTACTTACTTTAATTTGCTTTGATTTACTTCAAAAACTCGTTTGGCCAAATGACGGCTTGGAACGCTGTCAAAGCTACCAGCTGTGTAGTTAAAAAATTAAGGTCTGTTTCCTTACACTAAGAATCATTTTCCCACAAAATTCCAGAAAACTAAAAAAAATACAAACAATCTGTTCAGGTTTATTTTTAAATTGATGCGAATTTGAATGCATTTCAAAGGAATGATAATAATTATACATATATAGCTATAGGTACATTTATTAAAAACAAAAAAAATCCAATTTTTCAAGAGACGACTGACCAGTAGTTTGACATCATAAATATCGCTAGCTAGCAAGAGAAATTAAGGATTAATGTACTTGTTTTATTTTTTCTCATTTATATTCAACTAGCTTATACCCGCGGGTTTCACCCCGCGCTTTTATACAAATAGG